TGGGGGTAGAGGGGAAGAGGCAGTGGGGAAGGCACATTCCTTTTTTTGTTTTTCTTCGGCCGCGCTCTGGCTGCGTGTGTGTGTGTGTGTGTGTGTGTGTGTGTGTGTGTGCGCGCGCGCTTCAGCGGCGCTCCAGCCGATTTTTCTTTTTTTTTTTGGTTTGTGCTTCAGCGGCGCTCCGGCCGGTGGTGGTGGTGGTGTTGTTGCGCTTGGGGCGGCGGGAGCCACCTTATGATCGCGTTATAGCCGAACTCGTGTTATCGCGGGGTTTCCCTGTATTGTGCCTTTTGGAACTGATTTGTTTTGCTAGGGAATAGCCAGACTGTCATCAAGAAGTTGAGGTGATGGTTTGATCTTTGTTTTTAAATTAAAAGTTTATGTAGGACCTACACAAATGCTTTTATTCACACACTGCTGACTCTGCCACTGCAGTTCGCAAACTCTATTCCCACTGCAGTGATAACTCTAATGATCAGTTGCCGAAGCGATTGGTGGCATCAGCACCATTAAATAGATTCCCCAAGGATAGAGTGGGGGTCTGACGAGATTGAGAGCAGGTAACTAACAGGAGTGGTCTCTTTTCTCCGGTCTTTCTCTCACTCTCCCATCTCAGACTGTGGGATCCGCTCTTACAGCAAGAAGACCCGGATCGTCGGCGGGCAGAACTCAGAAGTGGGCGAGTGGCCGTGGCAGGTCAGCCTGCACGTGAAAGGCCAGGGGCACATCTGTGGGGCCTCGCTGATATCGAACAAGTGGCTGGTGTCAGCAGCACACTGTTTCCGAGAAGAGGGGCAGACCAGGTTGGTGGGTGCGGTGGGATTGGGGCTCTGCTGCTCTCTAGGGTTGGGCAGACTCGGTGCCATGTCAGACACGCGTGTGGAGGGTAGGAATTGCTATAGCAGATCAGACCAATGGGCTCTTTGGCCTAGTATCCTTCCACCAATGGAGGCCAGTACCAGCTGCTTCAGAGGAAGGCATAACTAACACATGCATAGGCTTCCCCCTGCCTGTAAGGGAATAACTGAGAATGTTCTCTCTAAAGGGGAATTTACTCTGATGTGTAGGGGATGCTTCTTTTCCTCCCAACAATTCAGTGGACGCTTTGAATCCTGTACTGGGCCTGCTCCAAGTAATGGCTCCAACCCCATCATTATCAGATGGCAGCCTCTATCGACTGCCCTCCAGATTGATGGGGATGATGAGTGCGCTGCCACTGGTCATGCTCGTTAGGTGGGATCCTCGATTCCTCTCCCGCATCCTGTTGTGGCTGGTGGTAGTTAGCAAGCGGTGGCTCAGCCATTGGACTGCTGGGGGACCTGCCATGCTTAGAGAAATGGAAGGGTGTGAGTTTATCATTATCTCGCTGGTCACAGCTGTTTAAACTGCATCTCGGGCTCACCTTCCAGGTGGTTTGCAGTAGGTGCTCTGGTGTCCCAGGAAGCAGCAACTCAAGGATGATCTAGTCCTGCCAAGTCAGGACACCTAGGGTCTATTTCCAGCTCTGCACCTGATTCTGACTGTGGGTGGGACCCTTAATTCCTCTGTGTCCATCTGTGAAATGGGGATAATACCCACCCTTGTGAAGAGCTGTGAGAGGTTTTTGGATGCCATGGAAGCATACAGTAGTGGCATTGTACCATGTGTATTCTGGTAGGGAGCTTTGGAGGGAAGCTCTGTGTTCCATCAAATAGCCCAGCAGCCACAACGGAGCTCTGAGCGACTCCTGGGAGCCCTATAGGGCTGGTCAGAAAATGGGCACTCTTTCCCCCCCATGGCGAAATGAAAAAATCAAAATGGGTACCTCATGGGAGTTGTAGATTGGCTGCCTTATGCTCCTATTCCTTCTAGGCCGGGTTATCTGGTCAGGCTACATCTCTCATTCTGCACCCCTGATAATGGGGGCAGGTTGTTGCATCATGGGAATCCATGACTGTAGTGCATCATGGGAGATGTAGTCTGTCTGCGGAGCCCAAACCATAGAGGAGAATGGGGGGCAGAGGTACCTGAACTACTGCTCCCATGAGGCTTTGTGACAGTATAGCCCAAA